CAAAGGAGTTTCCCACCCAAGTGTTTTAAGTGAGATTTTGTCATGACTCATTCCAGGAACCCCACACATCAGTATTTCTTCAATACACTATACAAGGTTAATGATGTCCCAATCAATAATTGTGAGAAAAGTGTAAGAAACCTTTTATCAGACACAAACATAAAAATCATAGTAAGAACAGTTTTACAAATATCATACCAGTGCATCATTCTGTGTATTATCTCGTACTTTGAACATTGGTTTTGTGTTTAAGTAGATTGTTCTGGGTGTTTATGTAACGTTACAGTTCTTTTATGGTTAAATTATTTTTTATTAAATAAAAGCACCCTACTATTACTCGTTCAAAAAGCAGATACATATAATATTTAATTTCGACAGTAAAAGTCTATACATATCAATTGTGCATCATTGTTATCAGTTTATTGCCTTAGATTTATCTGTAGATTTTGATTGAACATCAAGGGATCATTTAATCTTTCAAGGTTGTCCTTGCACATACATGTGTCAGAAGAAAAGTAAAAATAATTTTTTTAATCCACCATTTATTTTTGAAGAATTCATTGATACTCTTTGTAGCTTCTGTAAGATCCCAGCCCCAATCCTGCCATTGGCTACTCTTTTTTCATAAGCTAATCATCTGTTAAAAAAACAAAACTTTTGTAACTGGTGTCTTGCTTTCTTTTACAAATCTTAAATTTCTGTCTTCTTGTCATCAGAATACATCACAAAATATCAGAGGACTTTTTCATACAGATCCACAAATAAAATTTTTGAAGGATTACGGCTTCTAAAGAGAAAATAAGTAACCCTCCTCTGAACCCTATCCTATAAATTAATATACTTTCTTAGATAAGGAGACCCAAACTGTACATAGTACTTCAGCTGGGGCCTAACAATATTCTTAAGTCGAATTAAATACCTTATTTGTACAGCAACATTCATACTTCTTATTCTTAACATCCAAAATGTTTTTGATTATCCAACTGTTTCTGGCCGATGCACGACTTTCATAAACTCCTTTTGTCATTTCATTAAAGTTTCATTGTATATTACGTATATCTATACAGACACACCTGTTGCTACTGTTTACCTATATCTTTATAGACACACCTGCTACTACTGTTTACATGTATCTATATAGACACACCTGTTGCTACTGTTTACATTGTTTTTGTTGTTCGAA